ACCACCACTACTCTGCTGCTCCTCCTTGACCGGACCCGTAGTAATAAACGACGCGTCGGACAGAGAATGTACACTGACCATTGAATCACTTGTTGAGGAAGCGTCGTGGTCACTCAGACTCTTTCTTGCCCGATGGCTCGGTGCGCGGTGAGAGTATCCCGTCCTCGGTGCCCCACCATGACTTGTACTCAATGCCCGTCGCAAATCATCAACCCTGACTGTAGACCGCAGACTCGACGAAGAATTTGGTGTGTTGCCACCCGGACTTCTGCTCCGATTCGGACTCGACAATCGACCTACAAGCCCGTATGCTGCAGACGGCGGACGACTGTGCGCACGTCGTGGCGATTGAGCAGGCGAGCTACCATTGCTACTATCCAGGTTCTCATTTTGTACGTTGACGCCGAGGAAGTTGTTCTTCTGTGTCGCGGCGGTGTAATGCGTTCCTGTTTTCGATCCTGATATGGAAGCAGATGACGAGTCTTTTGTGTGGGATGATAGACAGCCGTCTCTCGTCCAGTCCGAGAGGAGATCTTCTCGGACTTTGAATGGGAGTTCAGGTGGGCCCTGGTGACTTGGAGGTTGCTGCACAGGTTGATGGATAGTAGGGATAGACGCATTGGCTCCGCGGCCAGGTGAGCCAGGGGGCGAAGAAGGCGGCGAGTATAGGGAAGTCGAGTAACCTTCCGATATCTTTTCGACCAAAGCTTCCCTGTTGTCAAATGGTTTCAGAGCTTCGTTCTCGACAATCTCTGCTGGTACAGCGACAGGTGTCGCATGGGGTGTTTCTATGAGCTCAATGGGCATGGGCGGGACGCGTATGCTCTTCATCCACAGACCCTTGCTGCTTCTACGCGAGATTTCGTTGTGCAGGGCACGTCCGACAGAGGAAACTTCGAAGTCCAGGGCTATACTTAGCGCCCAGAGGTAGCCATGTACCAAGCTGCCCAAGCGCAGTTTAGCACCTGGGTCTTTAATAGTTACGATATCTTCTTGTAGTCGCATGATCATTGGCAGTCCACTCCTCGCTGCGTTTACTCCGAGTCTATTAACTAGAGTGGTGAGCAGCAAGTGCAGAAGCAGGTAGTCGGCCTCAGAATCGACGTAGTGAAGCGCGTTCTCATAGACAGCTAGATGAAGCAGGGGCAAGAACGTGTCCCTACCACGTTTCGATACTTTCTCCCTGTTCGACGCATTCGAGACTGCACGTCTAGCCAACGCATTCTTATCGTTCTCCTTCTCCTTCCGCCTGTAGTTATCCACAATCTTCAGATCTTCCTTATTCTTCTCCGTATCAAGCCACGTAATCAGCGCGTCGACGTAGGCTTTCCTGACCTGGCCGCTTGGATCGCGCAGAAGCCATTGGGTGCCTTCCCAGACACTCACACCGACTTTGCTCCGCGACACAGATGCAGTTGAGCCGTCTGGTCTCCGTGCGTTTGCTGTCTTGATAATGGCTTTGACCGCAGCGAGAGCAGTGATACGTGCCGTTTCGAAAGAGAAGAAGCGGTCTACATGCGTCTTTTCTTGCATGCTGATCGAATCCGCAACGGCGTCTATAGCGCCTTCGGGGTTCTGTATTGCTTCAGTGGTGGAGGAAACGCTCGAGAGACGTGATGGCTTGAGGCGGCTCAGGATCGCTTCCACCATGTCAGAAATTTGGTCTGTATAGTACACATGTGTTGCGAGATCCGCCATGCATCTCTGTACGGTATCCAGAAGTTGTAGCCTCACGTTAGAGGGCTTCTTGACGACCTCCGTGACTACAGCGTCCAAATTAGTCGTCGAAGATTGGTTGCTAGGGTCTTTTTCTCCCACAACAGATGTTGTCTGCTGATGATGCGGTACAATGTTCGATCCTGGCCCACCAAGCTGAAGTAGTAGCAATGAGTGAGAGATGAGTCCGACCAGAACATCCATGACACTGAGTCCGATGAAGTTGATTGTCGAGGCTAGAAGATAGTCGATGATAGTCGCCAGAACCAGCTGTTGTTCGAGGTCATCTTCCACGATTGGACTACGAACCAGGGCTTCCACTGCGCCTACCAGGATTGTGTATCGGTCCTGTACAGGGACCCATGCACAGATCAAAGCCATGAGAGTAGTCGCCCAATGGCTGCTTTCGCTTGGGGTAGCCTCTTGTGAGCTCTTGATATGTGATGCGATAAACTTGAGCACTGCTGAGGTCGCAAGCCGAAGTTGCCCTCGATTTACACCCTGGAATATGCTCCTCAGTGCCTGAAGCGCAAGTACTCCAACCTCCTCTTCTGCAAGCTTATCCGCATCCTCGGTTGTTCCGGATGCCGCGATCGGGTCGCCGTCTTCATCGTCGGTCCGTGCAGTGGATACACTCTGCCGCCGCCGTAATGCCAGCTCCTTGTCGTGTTCGCCCTTGGTGGCTTCTCGTGCTTCCAACCTCTTGAGGTATGCACCACTCTCTGAATGTATGTTGACAAGTATGACTGGTATGACGGCGCCCAATTGACGCCCTGTCTCGGACCCTAATGACTCGGACGAGGCAATCGCCTTCAGGGCCTGGAGTCCCGCCTTGCGGTATCTGACTGCAACAGGCCAGCTGACTGGTGTCTTGCCCGTCTTGACAGTCTCCTTGGACGCGAACTGAGCGTACAACTGCACAATCTCCTCGTACTTCTTGATATAGTCCTGGTCGGCCGCGAGGGCGGCGGGATCCTGATGCGCGCATAGAGCTTCAAACGTCGGCACTGATTCCTCCACCATGGTAACGTCGTTTGAGTTGAGAATGGTTCGCAGGATGTGCAGTACGGCACTCGCATAGAGGGGAAGATCGCGCGGGCATTTCTCAATCAGCGCCCTGACAATCTGCAGCGTAACCTGCACATTGCCTGTCCTGACTTTCCACACATCCTTGGTCGCCCTCTTGTCTAGGAAGTCGACCACCTTTTGCAGCTTACTGCGGCGAGTGCTCGCGTAGAAGAGCAGATAGCTGAGCTCGCTCGAATTGGCCTTTGCTTCGGCATCGCTCTTCTGGACTTTCGGGTAGCATTTGAGGACCAGGACCTGGTGCTTGGGGCGACACGCCTGGCGCGCTGCGTTCATTGAAGCTCAGAGCGGTGAAGTTGCGGATTCGAGAAGAAGTAAGCGTTGCGCGGCGGCGGCGGCGGCGATGCGATGACGAACAGCGGGGGAGGGTGAGTCGTGGGTTTTTAGGATAGCAGGGAGATGGAATGGGCGGGAGATTCAAGGTCGCTGCATTATTCGGGCTTCGCTTCCTTGGCTAGCACAGGTGCATGCATGTGCAAACGGACGGTCGCGGAGAAAGGAGAGTAAGTTAGTCTAGGGTCTGGGTGTGGATAAACATGTTCGGCCGTATCCATGTCCGACGACCCAGAGATGTGGTCACTGCCCAACGTCGCCCGCCAAGCCCCAACAACACCAAAAGATAGCCGCGGTTTGGTGAAACCGCCATATTGCTTCTAGGCTACATTTACTTGTACCTCCCCTCAAATTCGGCCTTTTGCTTCTCTCTGGCAGCCTTCTTTTGCTCATTCAGAGCGCTGCCTATGTGCCCGCGACCTTGCCAGTGCATCTTACGTTGCGATTCATCGTTCAACTCTCTTCTAACTCTAACCCTACTTTGTCGTAACGCCGGATCTGGCGTCATGAACCCGTCCGTCTCCGCATCCCTCTTAAGATACTTGGTCTCTTCGCCACCGTACGTGACCTTCCCACCCTTTCCATATTTTGCCCGAGCCTGCTCTTTCGGCAAGCCCGTGTTGGTCGAGTAAGCATCCATCCCGGATTCTCTCAACTTCCCGCGCATTATCTTTGGCAACATGGCTTGTTTGCCTTGCTTGACGGAGTGCGCAACTGCACCCTTGATTTTGAATATCCGGTTGTTGAGCCCTTCATGACCAGGCGCGTCTGGGTTTCCAGCCACCCATTGCACTGAGCGTCCGTCACTCACAGGTTCAATTACATAGGCTGTGCCTTTAGGCATTCCCTTCATGATAAAGTCTGGTCGCAGATGTGGGAAATGCGAGTGCATCCATTGCCAGCGGCGAGGATTTGCTGCCATGATCCTTTCCTCTTTTAGCAGCGGTCTGCCTTGTAAGCGGAGGCGAAACTCTACAGGGCAGCCATGCTCGAGGAATTGGTATGCGCGATCCAATGATAGCCTGTAGAATTCGGTTGGACTGGACTCGTTCAAGATGATGTTTTTGAGCCCTCCAATATTTTTGCCCTTCTTAGTTTGGAGTTTCGTGAACGTGTGTGCTTTGGTGATGGAGAATTCCCTCAAGTTTTCTGGTACACTCATGCTCGCCTCGCCCTGATCCTCATTGTCCAAATATCCTTGCGCCATCCCTTTCTTCAGCGCATCCATACACCAGAGCATTTCTCCATCTTTAACATGGTTGTCGTAGAGCTCTTGTAACGAGATGTTGTCCGCTATCAAGCCCTCCTTTGCGCCCTTCTTGGTCGTCTCCCATAGTCTGACCTTGTGTGACAAGTCTTCCAATCGCGGAAATTCATACGGAGTGAACGTTAGGACCTTGTGTTGACCGAGGACTGTCTTGGCCTTGGCCGTTTTGTATAGGTTGAGCGCACGGCGTTGCTCAAGGCGTTGGGTGAGACATGCAGGGCGCGGGACGTGAGAGGCGCATTGCGGGCGGTATAATGTTTGGAGAGCGCGTATCGGTACTTGTACCGGTGGTAGAAGGAGCGATCGAAATTCAACAGTCGGTATCCGTATCTTTGGTGGCATAGTGACGCGATGAAAGGAAGCGTGGACCCTGTGCGAGACTGGAAGTTCCGATCTTGACTCAGGTTTCCCACTTATCCTTGCATCCATGACGTCGCGTAGCGAAACAGATGATTCGCAGTAACCATCACTTGGCATTCAGGGCAAGAACACTCATGCAAGGAGCTTGACTGCTTCATCACTACTTCTACATTGGTTTCAAGATGGTTGTACAAGGCTACATGTGCACTACGAGGCCGCACCTACGATACTCATCCGCCTACGTCCGCATTGGCACCAAAAAGCTTGCAGCCGTCTCGTCACTACCTGTATACTGCATCTGAGACCCAGATGGGAACGCAGCTTCCCAATCGATTCCTAGACCGAATGGATTGTACGACGGGTAGTTCCAGGAGCCCCAATCGATCGTAGGCTCGGGAATGAACGACGGAGCATCTGGCTCGACAATCGGAGTAGGCTCGGGTAGAGGCGGGGCATGGGGCGCACTACTTATAGAAATGGCGCTACTACGTCGCGTCGGGTTGAAAGATGTCGGTTGCGCTTGATTCAGCAGATCTTGCTCGCAACGGCGCACGATTTGGGCCACGCGCTGCATAATCTCTCGCTCGACAGGACTAGGTACTTGTCCGGCCTCGACAAGCAGTTCTTGATGTACGCGATGCAGAAGATCTCTGCGGAAGCGTCGCGATGTTTCGCTTGGTGAATCGCAATCGTAGACTGATACATATTAGCAGATTACAGCTACACGCCACAGCAAGACGACATACATGGACTGGGTATCTCAGCGTCAGCCACATCTGGAAAGAGGACCTGATATACGTCTCTCCACTTGTCCTCCTCTAGCATATACGCAGGGGTGCGCTTCTTCAGGGTCCGAATAGTCTCACGGTCGATTCCTTCAATTTCCCGAGGCGGTGAATTCTCGCACTGTCGCAGACGTACGTGAGTTGATTGCGCCTTGTCTGAAGTGAAGGTCTCGTAGCAGATTGGACAAAATATCGGCTGGGAATGTGATCGATAGAGGTGTTCTTTCATTCGATGGACGGATGGCCAACCAGGTCCAGGACAAGTGCGCCTGTTGCGATACCTGTCCGGTTCATGTTTGTAGAACGGACACGCAAACTTTGCTCCAGTCTCAGAATCGTCGGTGGTAGTTGCCGTGGAGCCTCGGCGTCGCTTGTTTGAACCATCATCGTCATCGTCCTCTGGTGGCGGACTGCCTTCTGAACGGGACTTGCGTTTGGTTCCTGAGCTCACTGATGTTTTACGACTGCTCTGGCTTGAAGAGAGTGTGCCTCTACCTTGGGTGTGCGCGGCTTTACTTCCCGCACATTGCTTGTAAGCCGCGTTGCGGAGGTTGATCTCGACTTTGCGTAAGATAAGGTCAATAATCTTCAGGATGGAAGTCGGAAAACGCCGTATAGCCTTCACATTATGATCCATCTCGTCGTCACTAAAGTCGGTGTTGGTATGCATGTCGCAACTGCTCGTGGATGAGATGGAAACGATGGATGTTACTCGTTCCCTAGGGCGCTTGCTGGATGGGAGATTGTCGTTGATCCACCGCTCTATATCTTCATCGTCCGACGAATGCCTATCTTTAGGGGTATCCTTACGTGGAAAGTCAAGCAAAGTCCCGACAGGTCCTATTTTTGGAGCCTCTGGAGATGTGGATTGGAGGAATGCCTGACTGATGATGAGTTCTGCAGGGTTGCTAGTGACGCAGTTCTGGCTAGCCAACCAAGGCCTATCGACGTAGCATTTCTTAGGAAAGGTAGCTTTGTTGTTGACAAGAATGCTCGGCACAGGTGGAAGGGGTGCGAAAAGAATGCCTGCTGCATCGTTAGCGATCTGAGCTTCTGCCAGGACTTGTAGTAGGATGTACCCTGATCCAACGTCCCCGCTTCCAAGGGCGAGAGGGAATCAGGATCGCTGTTATAACCCGAATCACGCGTCCTGGAGGAAGACAGCGAATCCCTTCTATATGTCCGCTTGGTCGTGCTCAGTCTTGTTAAGCCGGCTTGCGCATGGCTATTTGATGCCATGGCGAACATTGCGCAAATTGGTAAAAGAAGTCTACGGCAAGTGCTCGTACTCGTAGTACAGAGAGTAAGATGTTTTGTGAGCAAGAGAAGACGGCAACGGTTCCGGGGACATGACGGCGTTCTTGAAGGATGCCTGAAAGGCTGTCACAAGCTTTTAGATGCACTGCGCGAATGCGCAAACGTGGGAACAGAAGCTGACATTTTCCGTCCATCCGTCATCAACCGGTGTCCAGGCACGGGAGGACTGCGTACCAATCGTCGCAATCCATGATGCGTCGGGACAACGGCGTTGCGGCAGATACGGCATGACCATCAGGGCGTAGGTGGCTGAGCAGTATTGATATGTGAGGTGGTCGTAGCACGAACTCGGACCGGGTGGAATGCACCAATGAGACACATCGTGGGCGGGCACTACAAGGCAAGTGGAATGTGGGGTTGCGACGTTGTCAACCTCAGCTGCACCTTGTTCATCTCTTCGTCTTGTTTGTGCTTGTAACAACATTGGGTTGGATGTGAGTGGCTGACGAGGCGATGCCAGCTCGCTCAGGGCGTCTAGACCGGGAACGACTCCACATCCGACAAAAAAACGAGAAATCCACGCACGATGCCGTCCACCACAACCACGGCAACGCAACCAGACCTTGACGAACGCAAAAAGTTGGACTTGCAGGGAATCGAACCCTGGACCACTCCCATGCTAAGGGAGTATTATACCACTAAACCACAAGCCCGATTTTCCTTTTTTGGAGATCTTTGAGAACTTGATGACTAAGTGGGCTTCCAGAAGCTTTATATCTTGGTGTTTTGCCCCCAATCTATCACTCTTAGCAGGTTCCAACTTAGACGCGAGAAGAAGTGTTTGCTTGAAACCAGTACTTGCGACTAGCCGAGAAAGATTGTCAATTAGCGTCCGCTAGTATTCGTATGCGGCATGTTGAGGAAGCCTTGGTCTAACGTTGTCGTTAGAAGCCGAGGATGTTTCGGGCCATATTCGTTCGTATCAAGCCGTTGCTTGCAGACCTACAGAATCTGCCAGTCTGGCCCGGAGGTATGCGATATGGGAGGTTGGTCGGACGACGCTGATGATGGAGACAGTCGTTGGGAAGTACCTGGAAGCTCAATCAGGCTTAGCATCACGTGTAAGCACAGCACCAAGCTATCATCAACAACAACAAACACAGGGCATGACAAGGTCATTGCCATGTCTGTAGAGCAAAAGGCCGCGAAATTGACCGAACTCTGGAGTCGCGCAGACAACAAATTTGGGCCAGACTTGGGCCTCGGAAACTAATGTCGGGACGATGCAGTGGCAGTGACATGCGTGGGTCTTCCCAGCGGGAATGACTCGCGTCAACAGATGTTGTTGTGAGAACAACACCTTCACAAGACCCCTATCGCCCTTTAGACGAGCTTGAGAGCTGGCTTAGGATCCTGGGACGTGAGGCTCGATACAATGGTAGTTTGCCGTAAACATGTCGAGAAGAAGAAGTGCTTGAAGAATGCCGGACTGGGGTAGGGTTGCGCAGCTATGACGCTCGCGGCGCGCGAAACACGTGCGCCCAAGATTCCTGGGCATTGGCTGCGCGACGCTCCCCACCAGCTAGACCCAGCTTCATTGCTTCATTCTCCATAATCTGCAATCCTGCATGCAGAGCTTTCCGGCACCGGCAGCTCTTATATCTTAGCTATTGCTACTGCAGGTTGCAATTGCTTGGTGCTTCCACTTTTCTAAGCCATGAAGTTCGGTACGACACTGCGCAAGAGCGTGTATGCGCCATGGAAGGACAAATACATCGACTACGACAAGCTCAAGAAGCTGTTGAAAGACAACGAGGACGACGATTCCTGGACTGCCGACGACGAGAGCGCGTTTGTTGATGAGCTGGCCAACGTGCAACTGGAAAAGGTGCACAACTTCATCACCGACATCTCGCAGAAGCTGCGCGACCGGACCACGGCCTGCGAGAAGAAGCTGGANCCATTGGCCATAGGGATCCAGGCGGAAGACAAGGAGGACGGCAAGGGAGACAAAGAGAACAAGGACGGCAAGGGCGAGGGCTTGCTGAGCGACGCGTCGGGCGATGCGTCCAAGAAGCCGGAGCCCAGCCAGCAGGAGAGGGAGAAGATACTGAAGGAAGTTTTGCGCGAGCTGGACAACATCACAAAGGAGACCAAGGAGCTGGAGAGCTTCAGCAGGGTCAACTTCACGGCTGTCATCAAGGCTACCAAGAAGCACGACAAGCTCCGCGGCAGCTCCTACCGCCTGCGGCCCTTCATCGATGCGCGCATTGCTCGCCACCCTCTCCACACCGAGGATGCCTCGCCGCTGCTGTACAGGCTGTCGGCGCTATACTCTTTCGTCCGACAGAGCCTGGAGGGCAAGTCCAAAGAGGCTCTCTCCTTTGCCGAGAGCAGCACCGACGGCGAGGGCTTCACCTCACACAAGTGTACGACACGAGCCCTCTCATTTGCAACTATCTGCTGACACGAAACAGTCTGGGTCCACATGGACAACCTATTTGAAGTCAAGACCGTCATCCTCCGCCGTCTTCCCGTCCTCGTCTACAACCCCCAATCAGCCAAGGTTGCTGAAGGCACTCAGCGCGACCCTACAATCACGTCCATCTACTTCGACAACCCCAACTTCTCCCTCTATTCGGACAAGGTCAACGGCAAGCCCGATGCCTCTTCGCTACGCCTCCGGTGGTACGGCCAACTTGGCGAGAAGCCCGAGATCATGTTCGAGAAGAAGGTCATCAAGGAGGGCAACGCCGCTGAGGAGGTGCGCTTCCCCATCAAGGCCAAATACGTGCAGGCTTTCCTCGAGGATAGGTACCACATGGAAAAGAGCATCGACAAGATGACCTATCGCCCCAACAAGAACCAGGAGGAGATTGACAAGTTCAAGAAGGCCGTTGGAGATATCCAGGGCTTCGTCAAGGAACAAAAGCTGCAGCCCATGTTGCGCGCCAACTACACCCGCACTGCGTTCCAAATCCCTGGCGACGATCGTGTCCGCATCTCTCTCGACACCAACCTTGCCCTCATACGCGAAGACGCACTCGACGATGACAGACCCTGCCGGGAGCCCGACGACTGGCACCGCCGCGACATTGACAACGGGCAAATGGAGTTCCCTTTCAAGACACTCAAGAAGGGCGAGCTGCACAAGTTCCCCTACGCCTTGCTCGAAATCAAAGTCAAGGGTATGAAAAAGTACGAGTGGATCGAAGACTTGATGCACAGTCATCTCGTCAAGGAATCCCCCCGCTTCTCAAAGTTTGTCCATGGTGTCGCCAAGCTGTTTGAAGATAATGTTCATACATTCCCCTTCTGGCTCAGCGAGGTCGACAACGATATCAGGAAGGAGCCTGAGAAGGCGTTTGACGATGAGCAGGAGAAGAAGCGCAAGGCGGCCGAGGACGAGTTTGCAGTCGGATCTCTATTTGGCGCAAAGGCTAGTCCTAGCTACCGTGCTTCCATCGCTTCCCCCGTCGGCTCGCCAGCTGCAACACGCTCCGTACCCAAGAGCGCGTCTGCCGCAGCGCACTCCATGCCCGTTGTTAAACCCCCCTTTCCGACGATTGGCAGTCACCTTTCTCAGCGCAGTCAACGCAACGGAGATACCCAAGACAACAGTAACAACACCAACGCCCGCATAGACGAGGAAGCCGACTCAGACGATGAAGACACCCTCCTCCTTGCCGGCAACCAAAATGGCAAAGCCTCCAAAGCAAGTGGTCTAGCCTCCCTCTTCCCATCCTTCTCCACCTCCAAATATGCCCGCAAACAAGCTTCAACCCGTAAGATCCAACTGCCCCCTGGTATCCGGGACCCGGGTGTCTGGATCAAAGACCAGGGCCCCGTGCGCGTAGAAGCAAAAGTCTGGCTCGCGAATCAACGTACATTTATCAAGTGGCAGCACGTCTCCGTCCTCTTGGCATCACTCTCTCTTGGCCTGTACAATGCGGCAGGTGAGGGCAATGATATCGCGCGCGCGTTGGCGGTCGTGTATACGTGTATTGCAGCTTTCACTCTCGCGTGGGGGTATGCGATGTATATCTACCGTGCGAAGCTCATTAGGGAGAGGAGTGGGAAGGACTTTGATGCTGTCACTGGGCCGCTTGTGGTGTGTGTGGGTTTGGCTGTGGCGTTGTGCTTGAACTTTGGTTTCAAGTACGATGCCTTGGTCAAGGAGAGGCAGCATCATTTGCATCATCATCATGGTGCCGCGAATGCTAGTTTTGGGGAGCAGATGGAGCTTAGAGTCTAAACAAGACGACAAGATTCTTGCTTGAGTTTGGGATGGTGGAGACTGTGTGTGTGTGCTAGGTGAAGAGGTAAAGGGATGAGTGGGTTGTTTTTCTGTACCAAGATTGATGCTGTTAGACGCTGTTTTCTTACGCAAAGTGACTCGGAAAAGGAGCCACTGTTGGTCTTGATGTCTATGTACTTTGGAGTAGGTGTTGTACGTGTAAAATAGTGAACTAATGGTAGAATGAAGTGTACATGTCAGCGCTATGACGGAATAGTTCAAACTGCTGTGTTCCGGGTGTAGCTTCACACAAGAGCGTACAGAGGGAAGTCATGGTTCGTGACGTGCAACCTTCTTTATACAGATGACAACCACACTAGATGTGATATTGAATCGAGTGATCTATTCGCTTATTAGTCGCCGAAGGCATATTAAATCTCTTCTTCAGCCTATCAAAGGATTTACCCGTGGGCGGCTTGTGTGTTTGTCCCCTCGTAGACGGTCTTGCGCTTCATAGGGCGGCTTACATTGTGATGTGTAATGATCGATCGATAGATTGGAAGACTGCTTGTGTTAATCTGTTTGGAGAAGGTCACGAATAAGAGTACATATTAGTCATTCCAGGGGCAATGAGAGCGTTGGGTTGATAGCGATGGCCGTGGTCACGTCCTCTTCCGGCCTGAAGGTATCACATCAATTAAGAACCTTCAGGGCGAGAGCTAGTGGGATGAAAGCGCCGCAGTATCCGTTCTTGATTGAACAAACGGTTTGTTCATCTGAGATCCGCATCCTTTAGGAATTTCCATGACAAGAAGCCTGAAGACGCAGATCTGGCAGGTTCTATTCCTGCGGTAGTATCGGTGGACGTGACGATCAACTCAAACGCAACATGAAGAGATGTCTTGGAAATAGGAACCCCCCTTGGTGGTACGTACTTTCCACAGCTGATCACCTTCCCATCATCACAAAAACATGTGCAACGGCCATGCGACAGTTGCATCGTAAAACGAGTTCTCCGCATTTCTCCATCGTTTTGTGCAACAGGTGTGTCGTCGACTATAAATATGGGAGAGAAGAAACATTAATGGACAAAAAGGATACCAGCCTCAGGTACCACTAGTGTAGTGGCTGGTGCAGTGGTGACAGGGCAGGTGGTTGGCGGATGCATTAGTTTTGCGTTTCGTTTCGCACGCTCAAGCTTTGTGGATGGTGCTTGATCCCGAACACCATCTGCATTCTCGGTGCTGCGCACATGGCTATGCTCCTCTCAAACTCGTCAAACATTTCTTGCTCTTGCCACCAGCCCCATATTCCAGATCGTTCTCGCCGAGGATTGTAAAAACAGGCGTCCAACGACGACATCGTGCTGTAGTTGAACCAAGATTTGACAGCTCCTAGTTCCCACGATTAGCCGGAAGAAAATGTGACGTTCTTGATTTGGCGTAGCACAGACCTCGGGCGGCGACGGAAAAAGCAAGGCTGCTGAGGCTACCGAAAGGAACGTGAAACGTGAGCCGACCTTGCAGGCATGTAAGGCCCACAGACCGGGCGCCGAACGGTTTTGGTAATGTTAGTTTTCGTACGCTGCTATGTCTGTAGGTACAGAGCTAGGCGTGTCGTCATGTAGTGGTAGTCTAGCTGTAGGCTTGAACTTCGCGCGAGAGCCATAGTTCAAGGTGTCACCCTTCGAGACACAAGTCTGCCGGCACCGCTTAAAGCGGATGTGGCAAGGCAGAAAGCTCCACAAGGATGGTGATCGTACCCAGGTGTCCAAGGGGCGCATGACTTTTGCAATAAACTGGACATTTGCCAGCCGGTCCCAATTTACACGGGATGTAAGGACGCGTAAAGCTTCAATACTATACAAGATCCAAAGGAACCGCGTAACACGGCAGGAGTCGCCGACAGAGTTTCCCGCGATGAACAATGTTGCGGTGACCGATCTCGACAGCGCGTCGTTGAGCGGACGATGAGGTGGTCATGCATTGGGTCGTCGAAGGAGTGGAGCGAGTGGCTAGGATGCGCCTTGACGATCTGCAGGCACAGACTGCCAAGGCTTCCACTTTTGACATCAACCACCCGTCGTCCCGCTTACCATGACATTGTAAAAACGACACCGACGAGTCAAGAGGGGTTGCGCATCTCTTATCTCTCTTATTCGGCATCGTGGTATTTACAAAATACTTGATGATAGCGAAGCATGTCTTCGAGACGGCTCGATGATGAGGATTGACCGCCGGACAGACCCTGTGTCAAAAATCACTATACTTTTTGCTGCATATAGGCTACGGCCCTAGCTCAAATGCGGCTCTCTGCTGCACACCATCTAACCATGATTGCTCTGTGGATCCCGGGAAAAGCCCCGCATATTGAAGCGGAAAAGGACGTGAATGTAATTGGTGTCACGGCGTCGAAAGCACGTTTGTGCTCGGTTTGTGGGTTAGTGTTCAAACGATGCGGACCGGCCTGTCAGTATTTGTACGCGAGCGGATCCTTGGTGCGTCACTCCAGTATACTACCAACCTCCTAGTGGCGCGTGTCGATTTTCCCTTTTCTTAAGAGAGGGCTGTGGGCTGTTCCGTTCCGCTGTCAACCAACTCCTCCTAGGCCACACTCCCACGACCTTTAGGAGTACTTTATCCAGGACAGAGGGAAAGTACAGCCTGGACTTGTTTGCCGGCCGTTTGCATCTGCAAGTTTCCGGACTTGGTGCTGCACGTGACTGTCAGCCTCGTGCTCACCTCTCACCTCGCGGCGTATAGAGCAGGCGCGCTCGACCCCCCGCCAAACAACACTTGCTCGACCTCTCCTTCCATCTTCTCCCCTCATCCACACCCATCACACTCGCTATTACTGGTCTGGCAATTCTATTCGCTTCAAGTTATCCCCATATCTTGCCCAGTAAACAACCTCAACCCAGCATGAAAAGCTCCGCCCTGCTCGCCGCCATCGGCGCTGCATCACTGGCTGTCGCCTCTCCCGTCCTGCCCTCGCGGACTCAACCCCAGGTCGAAGCTCGCCAGGCCAATGGTACCACTCCACCATGTGCTCAAGTCTCCAACTACGTCTACGGCGATGGCACTCAACCCGCCATAATGACTATTCCTGCTCAGATGGCTTGGGACTGCATCAACGACGTTCCTTTCAACGCTTCATCAGGAAAGCGACTTCTTCAAGCACTCCGACCTTACATTGAGTGGCAGAGCACTCTTGCTGAGCTGAAAAACCCACCTGCCGAGTACTCTGAGAAGGTACAGCCTCCCGTCGATATCTTTGGCGGACTCGACACCATGGACCGATACATCGACGCCGGTTACTACAAGAATGAGTACGACTTTGGCTGGAGTCTCTACACCCTGATCCAATCCGCTCACGATGGACATTTCTCCTACATTCCCGACTCGGTTGGTTCCATCTTCACCTGGGGCCGCCCTATCCCTCTAGTCTCAGTCTCCGAGGACGGAGAGCAGCTGCCCGCAGTCTTTGTCTTTGCTGATGTTCTCGGTATGCAATATAACAACATCTCCTACACACCATCTCCTGTTGTTCGTATCGACGACAAGGACGCGAGCGAGTTTCTCGAGGATCTCAGCCAGCTTGGCTCTCTCCAGGATCGCGATGCTCTCTACAACAACGTCTTCTACGAGCTCGCCCAGGTCAGCCTTGGTAGTCAAGGTAGCGGAACTGGTATGTTCACTGGAGGTGGCCGTGGACGCTGGGTCTACCCTGGTGCCACCACAACTCTGCACTTCGCCAACGGCTCTTCCTATACTATGGAGAACTACGCTCGCCCTGCTATTCCGTTCCGCGGAATCGCTAATGGTGAAGACTTGGCCAAGAAATGGTTCAGCTACGGCTCCGCAGGTCCTTCGTTCGCCGATACACGTGCCCAGTCAGACGAAGAGGAGGCCTCCACTCTTGCTGCTGGCGCCGCAGCTCCTGGTTTTCCCACCCCCCAAGCCGCTGGCCCTATGAACCTTATCAACGGCTTCTACATCGACGCTACTGGTTATGAAGATGTTGCGGTATTGCAAGTGCCCAACTTTGTCGGATCTAGTTCCGCCGAGATTCCTTTCCAGCAGCTCACCCAAAATTTTATCCCCAAGGCCCTTGCTGACGGAAAGACCAAACTCATCATCGATCTACAAGCCAACGGTGGTGGCACTATTCTTCAAGGCTATGACATGTTCAAGCAATTGTTCCCCGACATCGAGCCCCAAGGTACCAACCGATGGAGGGCGTTTGAAGCTTTGGACCTTGTCGGACAGGCCACAAGCAAGTTTTCGAGCCAGTTCCCTCGGGAGTACAGCAGCAACCGTACCATTGCTTTCGCTCAGTCCTCTTACTTTGATTACCACATGGATATGAAGGCTGACGGTACACCATTTTCTTCGTGGGACGAGAAGTTCGGTCCTCATGAGGTTAATGGTGAGCTATACACTACGCAAAATCAATGGAACCTCTCTGACGTCTACGTTCCTTACGTGTCTGGCGGCATCAACGTTACTGGCTATGGTCCCCTGGCCAACGTTACAGGACCGCCAAAGTTTGCAGCAGAGAACATTGTCATCGTGACCGACGGCTATTGTGCGTCCACTTGCACCATCTTCAGCGAGTTGATGAAGCAGCAGGCGGGCGTCAAGACCATCGCTATGGGCGGTCGCAGCAACAAGAACCCCATCCAGGCCATCGGTGGCGTCAAGGGCGTCAACAACTATGCATTCGGCTTTATCCAGCAGACCGTACAATACGCCGTCAAGTTCGACCCTTCGCTCAACGAATCCATTTTGGTAGACGACTACTACAGCGACATTGTCTTCTCCCGTGCCGTCAGTGGAGCCGGGGGCGTCAACACCCGAGACGGTCTTCGTGCGAACGATACATCAGGTGTGGCGCTGCAGTTTCAGTACGAGGAGGCTGACTGCCGTCTCTACTACACACCAGAGATGACAGTTGATATCACGGCGCTGTGGAAGTCGGCTGCTGATGCTCAGTGGAAGAACAGCGGCAAGTGTATTGGTAGCAGCAGTTACGGCGGTGATGGGAAGCGTGCTGCTATTCCCAAGATCAGCAAGGTTACGACGAAGCTAAGCCCGCCTGTTGCGAGAGTCAAGGCCGCGAAGGTGGAGACGATGAGGAGGGTCAAGGCGTTTGAGAAGACTTTTGACTTGGAGACCAAGTGTGGGCTCAAGGGAGATGGGTTCATGGAGCCGTAAGCGTGGTCTTGTTACTACGAAGGAAGTCATGATTCGATTGTCTCTTTTCTCTATCTCTCTCTCAAATAAGCGTGGAGTTTATGGCGCCTGGATCTCAAAAGAAAAAAAGGTCGTCTTTGTTTGCATTAGGGATTAATGTGTATTGATTGGGCAAAAGGGTAGTAGTGAGTATGGTATATAGCTTGTTAGACACCAGACACCGTTGGTGCATCATTAAAATACCCCTATGATTTGATCATTGTATTTCTTTTCTGGTCGAAGTTGTTGTGGTAAACTTGTGTGTATGGTGAACTTCGAAATGTCTCAACTTAACATTGCGCACAGATGGTGTACTTGTAGTGGTCGTACCGTAGTGTTGGGCTGTTGCTCGACACAACATCGAAGACGCAACCTTTCGAAATGAGAAGAAGGGCAGACACTAGGTACCTGGAGCGAACACAACATGTGATTCTTAGAGATCATGCCGTCTGCAACCCTAGTCTCGATCATGGGGTGTTCCTTGGTAGTTTTGGAACGCGACACATCCCCCCAAACATGTTAATATTCGTAGCTTCTTTTGGCCCTGAATTTTGGGCGATGAGCTGAACATCGCAGTTCACACTGGGAGATCCATGGTAGTAGCTAAGGAGTTGTAACTGTTTGTGCTAGACATGCTACAGTTGATATTGTGGTTTTTGAGAAACGGAACAAAGTCTCTTCCACATGAGATAGGCGTCCTAAAATTTTGGAGAAAAGAAGCAAATCATAGAAATCTTCTATGTCTGTTTTTGGCACGCATAGTGGAAACGTGTGGATGAGGAGAGATGGACGCGGAAGAGGAGGCTTTATATGTCGCTTGCGTGGTGCGCTTGGTAGTGGACATAGACATCCTGCAAATATGTTTGAGAGAAGTGCTCGGTATCAGTATATGCGAACTGATATTCTGGTGTCTCTCGCACATGCGATATGTGTTTGGAGCTTTGGGGAGCAAAGAAGAACATGTAGGTAGAATCTAAAGGTTTCGGTTTTTGTAAAGGAGAAGTCGTTGTACAAGGACAGAGGGAACATTGGAGACCGTGGAGATGTTATATGCTATGAGATCCGAGGGCCGAAAGGTGAACATAGATCGGTTGTCGTGTGTTTGGAAGGACAGCTCGGCATGAAATAGAGAATGAAAAGCTTTTTTGATCGCGTCTCGCGTGTCATATGTAATTGGTGGATTTTGAGGTGGAGAGGCAGAGACATATATACTCCGGCAGGAGTATTTTGGTTTTCTGATAGCAAGGAAGTTTGTTGAAAGGAAAGAGGAACCGGTCGGAAGGAGTGGTTTTACACACTGCGCCAGTCGCCGGCGTCAGAGCGGACATTCGTAATGAAGTAAGAGGATTAATCCTTTTCGAGACTTGCTCGGTATGATGGTGAAGAAACATCCGGTCGTGTCTCGCATATGTACTCGTCTTTTTTATGTTTTGAGGCAGAAACGGAGGTCACATCACTCATCTTCCCATTGTTTTAAATATGAAATAAGGCAGTGAGTTTACGATGACGAGAGACGTAGCACAAGAAGAGTTTCTTAAATAGCTTCAGCTTGCATAGCTCGCCGTGAATATCAGGAACTCTTGGTACTATATCCAGGATGTTGGCTCGCCAAAATCTTTGATGTTAAGAATTCAATTTCTTGTATGGATAGCATACGTCGGAGTCTTTGAGCGAAAGAGGGAGCAACCATCATACATACGACGCGCTCATTTGTCTCTCATGACAGTTTTTTGCGTTGGTTTCGGTGACAAGGAAGACGACATGTCTACTACATTTGTAGTTTTTGTAGTCCGCTGGCAGAAGACCATGAAACGTTCGCTTTTTTATTTTGGTGAAAAGGAGGGAGTAAGTTTATTGTTGGAAGAGAGAATGGTAATGATAGGAAACAGACAACTTTTGTACGTCATCTGAGTAAGCGTAGTAAGCACATGGTCGCGGGTTTAGCCTTTTGAACCTCTCTCGGATCGTAAGACCTGCCGCAGAAAGGGTCCACATGGAAACGAACCAAGGTTTTTCGCGTATCAACGAGTTCGACAGAGTCACCTAATCGACGATGCTGGCCTTCTCAATATATGTGAAAAATGTATTATAATTGATATTTCCCAGAACTTATGTTCTAACACAAACTGAGAAAAGATTTCCTCGACGTCCTACTCCCCATCGAACCTACGCTGTCTTTCCCTCCTTGTCAGCCTTCACATACTCCACAGCCCACTCGAGCGACTTCTTCCACCCCTGTCTATTTGTAAACAGTGGCCTGTATCCCAACCTCGTCTTAATCTTATCTATACAAAGCGTCCGCTCCATGGTCAAGAGACGAATTACCCATGGAGTAAGCTTGGGCTGTCTGTGGCCAAGCGAAAAGACCCAATAGAGCCAAGAGGCCATCCACGCCAGCATACTAACAAGCCAAATCGGGATACGCTTTACTTGCTCATCCTTGACGGGTGTCCCGAGGAGCTCGGAAACAATTCTAGCGATGTTCCAAAAAGGAACGTGCTCGTCGTTTGTGACGAAGAAGGCTTCTCCTTCGATCTTCTTGTCTGCGGATAATGGCGCCGAAGAAGAAGCATCAAGCAGCGCTTTCACAAGTAGCAGTTGCGCATAAGTGCAGTTCTCTACGTAGCACGTGTCGTAGAGGTAAGACTGGCATCCGAACTGGATGTTAGCGCGACCACTGAGCGCTTGCTGCGTGACGTTGGTAGTCATGATGGTGTCACCAGCACCGTACAGTGCAGCCGGTCGGACTACAGCAGTCAGCAGGCCATTCTCGCGGTTCGCAGCTAGCACCATCTTCTCTGCGATAGCTTTAGTGTGCGAGTAGTATTCGGGTTGGTTGGGATGAAAGAGCACGGGCTGGTCCTCGGTTGCTTCGACCATGGGCGAGCGCTGGTTGTGCACCACGGAGGAGCTAGATGTGTATACTAGTGCGCGAACGGTGCCGACAGCTTTAGTGCATTCGAGTATGTTTTGTGTCCCGACTACATTGACTTGTTCTAGCAGTGCATGATTGACTTCGAAGGGGGAGGGCGAGATCGTGTGCAGCACCACTTGGGGTTGCACGTCTTGGAATATTTGGGCCAACTTGTCGGGTTGGAGGATGTCGGCTGTGAAATAGGTCGCCGATGCGTTTCGATTGCGCTCAGTGTTTGCGTCGACGACGACAATCTGGGAGGTTGGGCTTGCGCGAACAAATTCTCGGACGAGATGGTGTCCTAAGAAGCCGCAACCGCCAAGTATGAGGACCGGGCCTTCAATTTTAATGGTGCTCATTTTGAAGAACTTTTGTGAGCGAGAACGACACAGAGATCATTTGTTTCGTAGTCGTAGAATACGTAGGTTTGTCGTAATGTCCAACCCTGAGTCTTAAAGATGTGAGTGAAGGTAAGTGAAGAAGAACGAAAGAAGACACGGTCTTAAATCACGACATCAATACTGTAGAATCCTGCCAGGCAGCAGCTTTCAAAGACGTTATCACAAAAAGATGTAAAGCAGCAAAACAGTTCCCGCGTGTGCCGCATTCCCACATCACAGCCAATCACATCATGCCGTGCCGCAATCCCCCAGCCTCTTTACACGCGTAACGATCAAGGTATCACTGTCAAAGTAACTCTTTGCTGCAAATAATGCAGATAGTGTAAGGATAATCATACGTATAATAAAGTGCTAAACAATTAAGCTATTGCTAGCTGCACTCTTTGCACAAGTTACGCCTGTGCAGCTTCCAAGAATACCTAGGCAGCGGAGTATATCAAGACGACCTTTTGATTGAAGCAGATAGATAGGTAGCGCAGTACCTGAACCTTGCATCCGCACCACACATACTCTGTACTTACTCGTGATTACGGATGAACAAACCCAAAAGGCCCATGGCGCATATTGGACCCTGGTGTTCAAGCCACAGACACAGGCTAAATGCACACGCAGCAAAGACCCCGCGAATACGCAGCAGAAACATTTCACATGGAAGCGAATCAAGGTTTTCTAAAGAAAGGCAACAGTTTTCGCAGTCTACACATGAACTACCGCCTCAAATCTACTCCTCCAAAACTCGCTACCTTCTACATTATAACCGAGCCTCGTAGAGCAGTCTACTTCGCCGTCCAGATACTACGGTAACTCCTCCGCTGATTTAACTACGCGAACAGGAATTGTAGGTTATTACATCTACCTTTGCATCCACCTTTGCAACTGCCTTTGCATCTACCTTTGCGCCGTGGGCAATCATGAACTCAACTATAGAGGTGTTTTCGTACTTGATTGCTTCCTTAACGGGCCTGCCATCATTGATTGAGACGCCATTTTCGACGAGGATGGTGATGATGTTCCGGCAGAGGTGTCTAGCAGCCAACTTCATACCCTGCCTGCCATATTTCTGCAGTAAAACGCGGTCTTGGGCAATGAGATGTTGAAGAATGTCTCCCTGGCCGAATCTGCAAGAGTACCAAAAGGCTGACTTTAGATAGTGATCTTTCAGCGATTCGTAAGCCTTGGGGTTGATGCCCATTATCGTAGATATAGTAGCCTGGAAAGTCTTGACGTAACCAGTCCTGACAGCATGCTTGATCCATTCGTCACCCTGTTCTGGGTTATAACTGTCATAGTAGAAGCCGAAAGACAACTTGTACTTTTGAGCGAAATCTGCAAGAGTTTGGATCGTCAGACAGTGTTTTGAGCGGATGGCTAGACGGAAGATGGAGTAGAGTCGACGGTTCAACTGCTGCAGCTCAAGGTGCGGAGCGCCCCGAGGTAGTCCAGATTTTGGGTCCACTAGAGGCCGAAGTTTAGTCAGTAGATGCTGCAGGACTTTGACGTGTCCGTTAGATGCTGCTGCTCCGATAGGGTCAGAGAGACCACCCTGGTTGGAGTTACAATTGAGATATTCGGACGAAGGCCAGCTCTTTACGTACTTCTTCAGTAGATGCTTGACCGCTACAAGGCTGCCTACTGCAGCGGCGCTTGTCAAATTGACCACTCTCTGAGAAGGACGCTCTATATTATCGGAGGATTCCGGGTGAATCGCCAGTGAATACGTCGCGTGACGCTCCCCTCGAGTCGTGTACCGGATGATATCTTGGAGGTATCGAGTCTTCCTCTCGTCGTCAGAGGACTTACCCTCGATCCCGAGGACAGTATCAGCACATTTGTGGATAAAAGCGACGAAGGGTTCATTCTTCCTCTTGCGAACTGGACTTTCGAGGTATTTGGCGGATATGTTGGTAAATATATCTTTTAAATGCCAATTAGCTTGAATGGGACCGTCACGCTTAAAACTCTCCTTGGGCAAATGATGAATCATCTGGTAGCTTATAGCTTGGTCAAATGTCCCTACAAGGTATTAGCAAACAATAATTGTGTTTCTCGTGATTAACTTACTGGAGACTGCACGAGTAGCCGAGGCATCATGAACGGGAACACTGTGTACGTAATGCGCAATGACATTGTCAAACAGCTCCTTCGGAAGGTCCATTAGCCGGAATCCAGAGTTCATAGTTCCTGTTAGAGATACCGAATTAGGTAAAGATGCCGCTGTTGAATGTGTGACCGTCCAGGTAAATTGGTAGTTGAGTGTGGAAGAGTGAGCCGATGTTGGTTGTTTAGTAGACACTGTGATATGGAAAGAGACAGTTGAGAATTAAACTTTGGAGTTAAATAGGGCGTTGAGAAATAAGTGTGCACTGAAGCTGTTGATTTACGCAGTGAAAGCTACGTCTCGTGAAAGGACAACAGCAAACGGTGTGAATCTTTTGAGAAATCCCCCCCTACAAGTTCATTCCACTCCATCCCTTAGTACCGTTGTGATGTAGAGCAGCTGAGCCAAGTACGACTTCCCCGATTGTCAAGGATGCCGGAAGAACATATGTGTGATAGCAGATTCATCAAAAGAGGTTACCAAAGACTGCGGCAGTTTAGCCAAGCGAGACTGTCGCCGCTCTCCCATTCCCTACACCCTGTACAGCGCGCGGGCACTTGCTCATCTCCCGCTGTCACATGCACGATGAATCAGTAACAACGGTAGGGCCAAGGAGCTACTTGTGATTGAAACACATGATATTGGGAGAAGACTAGACGGGTATACATCTACCCAAGCAGCTGTCCGTAGACAAAAAGCTGCCAACTCCAAACACCATGCCACAGAAAGGAAGGAAAAAAAGAAAATACCCCCTAATCCTGTGGGTGGGGAATATCTCAAGAGCGATAAGCCTGCTAACCCACATTACCCATGATGATACCACACACGCCTCGTTCCAAAAAAGGAACAAGGCAAACCCATATCAAAATAGATGCAGCGCCGACTCCCCCCCAATCACCGTCCCATACCCTATTGAATCCTTACCGCCAGATGCGCGTATTCGTAGCTCAAGCAGACCTATAACACCCTAAGTTACTCCATCCTCTTAAAAAAGACATTGACAACTTTCTTCACACCTCTACACTCTTCCCATTCAGTCTCAAGGGGGGTGAAACTTACCGATTACCAGCCCCCCTCCTCCCCGGCAGCGGCGGCGGCACAAGTGGATTCCCATACGCATCTGTCCCCAGCTGCGCCCTGCAATCAGGACAATACCATTTCGCGCGGCGGGAAGGTATGTCGTCTTCTGTCATGTTCATACAGGGGAGGTGAAACCATTCTTTGTCGCACTGTGGGATCGTTAGCCATTATCCACCATCTACCATCTACTTCTCCCTCGCTGCTGTCGTAAGAGTTGTAGGGGTATAAAACTTACGTTGTTGTCACAACTGATCATCTGCCCATAAGACACATCATCACAGATACAATACCGCGGCTCATCCGGATCAATCTCGTCCGCCGCCTCCACCTCTTCAGAAGCCTCTACCCTTCCCTCCATACGTCTGTTGGTCCTCTTTTTATTCTTGCTCCCTTGTGCACGCTTGACGTTCGTGACAGTCTTTTGGCCATCCTCCGCAACAGTAACTTCGCCTTTCGGGGGCGGTTTCCTTCGCGAACTAGTGCGTGTTGTGGGTATGGCTGATTGCTGTTGTTGTTGCTGCTGTGATTGTTGGTGTTGGGCAGAGGGAAGAGCTGCGGGTGATGCTGCTGTAGAGGTAGACGCGGGTTGGCTAAACACACTATGACGACGGGTTTCTCGTGTTATCCTACCTTCTTCGTTGCCGGGTTTGGGCTCTTCGCTTTGCGCTTTGGGCGTCGGCACGTGACCGCGTGCGGATCTTGGCCGTAGAGTTGGCGCTGCAGGTGTTTCTGGAGCGGGCTCAGGTACTGGCGTCGGTGTTTTTGAGGATTTTGCGGGCGGGAGAGAAGCCACAGGCGGAGTGGGTGCTTTTGGTGCGACTGACCCACGTGTCGACCTTGTCGAAGCTGTAGCTGGTGCTGTTGAGACTGCGGCTGGAACTGGACTGGGTGCTCGGGCTGGTGCTGGAGATTGCAAAGCTTCTGACATAGCGGGTGATTCTTCGGGCGCTAGCGGTGAAGTTGTGATGGGTGTGAGCTCGGGGCTCTGCTCTTTTGGTACAACTTTGTTAACTTTCGGTGTGCTTGGACCTGCCGGAGCGAGGGGCACTTGTACAGTGTTTCCATTTGTCGATGGTTTCAGAGAGTCTGGGACGGGCACAGGCGTGTTAGTTGCCGGCGAAGCTACGACAGAGGCAGGGATTTCTCGAGGGGTGGAGACGGTCGAGGCGGGAGTTGGTATCGGGGAGGAGACGGTGTTGGGTGCTGGCGCAATGAGCTGCAATCGTGTGCGCTTGGGCTCTGGAGGCCTTGATGAACTGTCTTGAGTGGCTACGGACGCTTCTCTCGTGGCTTCGGTGGCGCCGTCGGTGGTGGGTGCTGGTGAGGTATCGCGCTTGCGTTTGTTGGAAGGATTCACGATAGTTTTCTTCTTTTGGCTTGCAGGCGTTGCAACAGTCGAGTTGAAGTTGAGTTCTTTGAGGCTGTTGGCAGCTTCTCTGATCTTCTCAGAAGCACCTATGAGCTCCTGAGCGTCCTGCATAGCCTTTTGGCGCTGAGATGTGCGATCGAGCTTCCTACCTTCTTTGGTCGCGACAGGCTTGAGACGGATGCTGACTGGGCCAGTCTCGTCCTTGGCGTCTTCGTCGACAGGCTCGGTCGGCGGGGGTGGATTGGCTGCCTGTGGACCATGGGGTGCCAACAGGCCCAGGCCCGAGGCTGTCATGATCTGCTGTAGCGTCTCAGGCTCCTCATCGAGGAAGTCTTCGCCCGTGGCCTCGCAACGAGCCTTTTCCCTCTCGTAGTCGGCCTCTGTACGGTGCTTCTTTTCAAGCTCGCGAATCATCATGGTCTGGCTAGGTGTCCAGACAGCATTCTTCTTCATCTGCTTGCGCAATACCGCCATTTCATACTCGGTCAGCTTCTTCCACGGCGCCCATTTGCTACCAGGCTTCGCGTCGGCTGGAGGTGGGGCGAGTTGGGCAAGCGCGTTGCTAGTAGAGATGCCCGCAATCGAACTGTGTACGTTGGTGCCGAGTACGCCAGCAGCGCGCGATCTTCCACCCGTTGTCCTTGAATGTCTGTCTCGGTTGTCCTTGCGCTTCCTGGGCGATATCACGTCGATGCCTGAGCCTATTTCCGAGTCTGACGAGTCAGAGTCACGGCGCATTCGTCCGCGTCCCCGTGGGAGAGGGATGGCTGTCTTCTTGTGCCGATCTCGGGGCCGCGAGGTGTTGGCGCCATGGCGGCCGCCGTCAAAGGTCAAGCGAAGATGGGGGGCTCGTTCGTAGTTGCGGTTTATGGGTCGGTGAGCACTTGGAGAGACTGGCGGGGGCGTAGGGTCGCGTGACGGCGGCTGTGGCTGGGCTTGAAGTTTCCTCTTGATGACAGATGAGCGCTGGCAGTGGCGCACAGTGACCTCGTATAGCCGCGAGGCCTCTGTATAGGCAAACTCTCTCTGACTGATGGCCTTTTGAAGATGCTGAGCGATTTGCTTCCGCAGCAACACAGGGTCGGGACGCTCTCGCTCGGCAAGGGCGGGCAGCTTGCCATACTGGACCGTCAGCGCGTGCACATGCTGGACGGCCTCGGAGTAGGTCGAGTCAAGGTCGGCAATCAGCGTCAACGAGCGCACCAGGTCCGAGGGAAAGAACTCGGTATAGTCGAGGAAGTCATTCACCGTCGTCTGAGCATCCGGATTCGGGGCTGGTTGGGCCATCTCAGGCGCATCGTCGGCTTCAGACATGGCGCATCGCGGGGAGGCAGAGTGGATGGAGGCTTGCGACGCACGCGTCAGACTCTCCAGCCACGCGTCAACCAAACTATTGAGGAGAATCAGCGCGATAGTGAGGGCGCGAGTTGCGACATGCGCTGATAGCGATGGGGTGCCTGCTGAGAGCTTGTCGCAACGTTGAACCACTGAGGTTCGCGCTAGTCCGCCTTGGGAAACATCGCTGCACATCACTCAGGAACGCCTGGGAGAGCCGGGAGCCGCCGCCCCACACTCCATCTACACCACTACAGTACATGGTGCTGTCATAGTTAGACCTATGATGTTATGAATTAGACGTATCTTAGTCGTGTATCGCTCCCGCCCGGTACGTGAGATTCAAAAGTAGCAGACGCGCTCTCCGTATCATGTCAGACAAAGATTCATACACGCTGTCGCGCTCCGACAACATCATACTGTGCGCCCTTTGTTGGTTGGGCATCTCGTTCTCCAAAACTACAGTCATTAAAAGAAGCCTACCCTGTGTGCTCCTATTGCAAGGCGTGTCTTTTTATCGTCTCTCTCCATCTCTCTTTCACTTTCTCAGTTTTCTAGTTGAGGCTCTCCCCACTGTCGTTTCCTGTTTGCTCTTGCCTCGTTTGTCTACCCAAGCGCGGCTACCGTATGTCCTCTATCACACTTCCCTCGCAAACACATTCTACTTTATCAAACACTCACCATGGCATCAGCACGGTTACAGCGTCTCCAAAGGTTTGTCCAAGTAGACCTCGATACCCTGCCAGACCGCCCTATCTCTCCACGACGTGAGTCCAAGCCAGAGCCCGAACCTAATCATGCCGACAGCAACTCCTCTGGCGGTGTATCGCTCAGAAACATACCTCCAGATTCGCCTGCCAGCAAACAGACCTCACCCAATCAGACTATTGCAGCTATAAAGACACCGCCTATCGAGAACACAGAACGCCGATTCGTTTGGATCAAAGACGCTGACAGCTCCTTCAACCCAAACCTGGACTCGATGCGGCCAGCCACCGCCCAAGCTCCGGCACCTCGTACAGATGCCGCTGGGCTTCCAGTGTCCGATCTCCAACGTGGCGACCTAGCCTCACCTCGCCATCACTTCACCCCGATCCAGGCACTGGCAAAGTATCCCTACAAGTACTGCAACAAGATCCATATGCAGGACATTGCTTCTGCTTTCTTCGACCAAGGAAAATTCTGGCAGCGAGAGTGGGACCTGTGAGTCTACTTCACCTCACCACTCATTCGTCGTCATAACAGAAGTGAGAAGACATACACTAACCTCACCAGATACTACATCTGGGACATTGAAGAGACTTCCAAGCCTTTCATTCTCGTCCGCGAAAGCCAAGTTCAAGCATTACTTGCTGAGATCAATAAGCACTTGAAGCTTACTTTGAGAATCACCGACCAACAACGAGAGGAGGTAAGGCTGCATCATCGTGCTATCAGTTGAACAGTCAGGCTAACTCTTACTAACAGGGCCTACTCGTGCAATTCCCTGACCACCCACGCTGCCTGCCTCGTTATCTTGGCCGCTCCCAGTCGCGCGAGGACGTTGACCGCATGGCCGAAAACGCCCCCAACAATACTTTCCGTGCAGCGGAAGAAGCTTCCCATCCACCACTGGAGTCACACACTCTGGAACGGTTCAGGCAGCTGATGGCAAATTTGGCAGAAGCACAAAAGGCGAAGAGCAAGGCAAACAAACAAAAGAAGCAAGAGGATCGCATGGCCAAGAACAAGTCGATGCAAGATCAATTCAAGCGTGCCGGGAGGTATCTTGGTGTTCGTGGCCCAATCCAGGCTTCGTATTCATCTTCCTCCTATCCGGCAATCGACCCCTCCATGCCAGTTCCCTTCACTTTTGATCACGATGTCGTTTTTGTGTGCGTCGATGTTGAATCGTACGAGAGAGCCCATCACAAGATCACCGAAGTAGGAGTAGCTACACTGGATACTCGGGAGCTCATCGGTGTCCCACCCGGCGAAAACGGTGCGGCGTGGAGGAACAAGATCCGAGCCCGTCACTTCCGCATCAACGAATACAAGCACCTACGCAACACCGAATTCGTCACTGGCTACCCCGACGGTTTCGATTTCGGTGAGTCAACCTTCATTCCCCTCAAAGAAGCGGCAGACCACGTGGCAGCCTGCTTCCACGCCCCCTTCGGAGCCCAAGACGGAGATGGCTTCCCCAGTCATCATGATCCGACTGAGAAGCGCAACATCATCTTCCTCGGGCATGATACTCTTGGAGACGTCCGCTACCTCCAACAGCTCGGCTACGATCCTATGAAGGTAGAACATATTCTTGAGGCTATGGACACCGCAACCATGTACAAAGTCTGGAACCGAGACCCACAGCCCACTAGCCTGGGCAGAATCCTCTTAGCATTCGATATTCCAGGCTGGAAGCTACATAATGCGGGTAACGACGCTGTGTATACCGTGCAGGCCATGTTAGGTATCTGTGTTAAAGAGGCGACTCTCCGTGGCTCTCCAGAATTGGACGATATGCGCAAGCAAGAGAAGGAGAACAGACTCAGAGCTAGGATCGAGGAGGCTGAGCAGAAAGCTAAGGATGAAGCGGAAGGCTGGAGCGATCATGAGGCCGTTGGAGATGGCGGCTCACCGATTCCTCTTGCTTCTGCCATTCCGCCAGTATCGAAGCCAGTGCAAACTAAGGCTAAGCCTCTTGCGCAGTATGATGGCGCTGGAGAGGATCATATTGGCTCGTCTCGTGGTTGTAAGGCGCCTGGTGAGGGTCACGAGCAGCGTGAGAGGGGGGACTGTGGCAGTGATCAACGGGGAACCTCGAGCGAGCATGGTCAGGTAGACTGTGGCGATCGTGACCAGTCTAGTGGAAATGAAAGATGGAGAGGACGGGCTCGTAATCTGATCCCTGGACGTGGTCGTGGTCGTGGGCGCTCGGGTTTGCCAAAGGAGGAGGCTGTTCCAAATGTGCAGTATCATTGGTGAGCAAGGGGATGAATACAAGGAGCTGCACGCGCTGAGGCCTTATCGGGCTATGCGGCGTGTCTTCCAGTCACTGAGTTTTCAAGGCCGGAGGATACGATTTAGTACTGGAGATTGCTGAGCATGCTTCCTATAGCTGAATTCGAACACGACCATGACTTCTGACTTTGTCATCCCTTCCCGATCTTATGCTTTACGAGGGCGTCTTCACCCACCCCCTTCAACCCACCCGTCAGACATTAAACCCGTCAACTTAGCAGCCGCCCTCTTCAGCTCAAACACATCCTTGCAAGTAGCGAAAACAAAGCGATCAGGCCGCAGGATAACAAATTGCTTGCTACCCGACTCCCGCCATATACGATCCGGCTCATAGTACTGCGGCTCCGGACGCCCTTGGCAAAGTGGCGAAGCTGCAAATTCGTGGCCTGTTGCTAGACGGTAGACATTCGAGTGGTTCGAAGGCAAGGTCCAGCCCGTTTGGATCATCTTCGTAGTCTTGAAGAAGAATGTCGTTTCAGCTGCTCTCAATACACCACCTGAGACGCACTCAATATCATTGAGCATTGGCTGAATGCGATGGACGTCCATTACACCATCGATGAAGACAACAAGTTGGAACAATCTCTTTTTCCCTTGCTCGAAGATGACATCGTCGGTGAACCTCACCCCCTTCTTCTCCTCCTTGTCAGCTACTCCTACGCAATACACTTGCGGGAAGTTCTTCCCTCCCCCACTCCCACCCGGTAAGAAGGCCATGTTTTCCCTCTCTTGCCACTCATACCTGGTCAACCCCTCCTTTCGATTTCCTTGTTCCAGCCATCTCTTCCAACTCGGCACCAACTGCATTCCCCAGAGATACCAGTCCCTCACAAAGATCTTGAGCGGATCCGTTTCGCAGACATAGGCTCCGTTTTCAATGGTAGATGCGAGCGAGTGGTCAAGTTGTTGTTTACGTTCTGTGTACCAACCTTGCAGCAATCTTTGGTGGTTGATATTGCAAGTAGGTTGTTTGGAGTCGGCATACGACTGAGGCGGTTGGGTCAAAAGAGCAAGACGCCAGGCAAGACCCATTGCATCCCGAAACCCACTCGCAATGCCTTGTCCCCCGAATGGCGGGAAAACATGCGCCGCATCTCCAACGAGCGCCACGCGATCCAATGCCCACTTATTACAGCTCCGTGCCGAGAAGCTGAATGGGCGGCAACGCAGAACCTCGATACAATCCAATGGATACCTTACATACCCATCAACACCATATTTGCTTCCAGGATGCGTGATATACGGGTATACCACTTGCTGTATCTTTTCCCGACCAGCCATGTCCACCCCATCCTCACCCTCCAAAACCACGAATTCAAACCGCCAGAGCCGGTCGGCGGGCAGTCCGAAACGCCCACACACAGCCGCTCGCTGCGGATTACACAAGAATCTGAAATCGTTGGGGAAGAAGAGGTCGTAGACTTGTTGGGGCGTGTATCCCTGGCGCCACAACGGAAATTCAGGATGCGTGTCGGAGTTGGGCAGCGAGATCTTCCAGTTTAGCGCGACCCAGGTTTGCGAGTAGGCTGACGAAGTCACTTGGTCTAGGGTGATGCCGCGAGGTTCGAGGTAATGCTTTCGTGTGAAGCCCGTTTTTCCGTCTGCGCCTACGAGGAATTTACTGCGGATCTGCCGTTCTTGTCCAGTGGGCGAGGAGGCATAAGTGATGTAGGTCCATTCTGCATCTTCTCGAATAGACGTTACTGTTGCCCCTAGTCGTAGCTGGGAGTGTTCTGCTTGCTCCATCTTGCATCGCAGATGTGTCTCTATAGCTGGTTGCTTGTGGCATAGGAAACCTGGATGTCCTGTTCCTCCTTCAGTCTAGATGCAGTCAGCATGGCCACCATCTCCCAAATCTTGTCATGGTAAAAAGACAAACCGTGTTGTAGTCCATAACCATGAAAGGCTCTCTACCAAGCTCATTATGGATACCACTGATGAATTCGAACTTGCCCATACCTGTGCGGGTCATTATAATGTTAACACTCTCTCTCTCTTTCCCACATTTCCCACGCGCACAGCAGAACAGCAGAGATGGGAGCACACAACATACATTTTCCGATATCTGTGAATACCTTGTCGTAGATACCACAAGCCTGCAGACAGCGTATGCCGTCTTCGTCTAAAGCGATTCCACGTGGATCTGTATTAACACTTTCTTCCTGTTCAAGGACTATGTTGCGCACGCCGTGTTTAGCGAGGAGGACTGATAGCATGGCGCCTGTTGGCCCACAGCCACACACCACGACATCTGCGGTTTCAATCTCCATTGTGGATGACATTGCGTGTGCTGTATGGAGCAGAAGGATCTGGTTTTAGAGGTTTGTGTATTGTTGCTTCTTTTCGTTGCTGCAGGAACGGAAAGGCAGTCACTTCGTGTTCGTTATACATGAGCAAGACAATCGCGGAGTTGGCCTGAGCGAATGAGAAAGCGGAAATGAGCGAGTAGCCGAAAGGTTGGTCTTGTGATACGAAGGCGAATAGTGTGGATGTATTGATGTAGTAGACTACCTAGGTAGGAGGAGGAGGGCATGACGTACATTGTCCCGAGTTTTCTTGGCTCTGCTTATGCTGTGTTACCAACCCCGCATGTCGCCTGTACATGCGCGGAAGAACGATTGAATGCGAGGCATGAGTCGAGCATGCATAATCATCCAAGGGAACGTGGACGCCTCCACATTGCGATATACCACGATTGTGAAAAACTCGGTGTCTCCAAAATGGTTCAAAGGTCCATCACCACATAGCACACTTTCACCCACGAGTAATAAACACACCCAAGATACTCTCATGCTAAAAGTCCGCATCATCGACGATTCTCTTGGGTATTTCCAGAGATCAGCACCCTGTTGTTGCTTGTTGGATAAGCAATGAGGAAAAAGAGATACCTTGGAGACTGCCGTCTGGCTAGTCTCTCAACACGCCCTCAACAATCTTCATAATCTCCACCAACTCCTCGTCCATCATACTCTTCCCCATAACCTGCACGTGCGTCGGCAAACCCTCACAGTCACTCGCGTCATCTGTAGCAAGACACATTAGCCCGGATCATTCCTTCCACCGTCAACAACAACAACAACAACTTACAAGGTGGTTCAAACTCCACTCCTTCCTTCGTAAACTCCGCATCCTTTTCCTTCTCCGCCTTACCTACGCGCAATATCCCACTCGGCCAATTCAACAGATTCACCACCACCGTATAAATCGGTAGACCATACGTATCGTGTTTGGGCGCCACACCCTGGTATCCAGGCATTAAAATGGCGTCGAGTCCCTTCTCCCCTCCCTCCTCCTTCACACTAACATCACCAACTACCAATTGATGAAACTTTTTGACAATCTTGGCTTTCTCGACATTCATATCCCACAACTCGTCCAACGTCGCCTGCCACCCTTCCAATTCCGGAAACGACATTGTAGATAGACTGGGTACCATTAGCTCCCCGCTCTCTTTGATGAATTGGAAGGGAGTTTTCTTTGGATCAAGCATGAAGAACTTCCACGCTAGCATCGCTGTATGGTACAGATCTGGTATCTTGTCGTCTAGCAAAACGATTTCATGACCTGCTGCTTTGAGTTTCATAGCAGTGGTATGCAGACCGCGCGCGACAGGGGGGTGAAGCGGTCGTTCTTTACAGCCACGGATCAGACCGAAGCGGAGGGGTTTGTTGCCACCCAAAGGCGAGGAGACACTCCGCCACGGCACATTGAGGCAGTTCTCGTCGAAACGGTACGGTCGTGCGCTCACCACGCTCTTCATGAACAATTCGTAATCACGCGTTGAACGACCACAAGGACCAATCACCACGGGTATTGACCCGGGACTGCCGAGTCTCCCTACTGCTACGCCACCAGCGAAGGGAACGCGACCCGCAGTTGGCTTCAATGAGGATCCGCCACAGCATATAGCGGGGATGCGGTTCGAGCCCGCGATATCGGTAGCGACGCCCAAGACGCTTCCTTTCATGGCGAGCAGAGCGCCTTCGCCACCCGTGGAGCCGCCGGCTGTGTGGGAGAGGTTGTTAGGGTTCAGAGTGCGGCCGAAGATGTTGTTGTGCGAGTCTGCTGTCATCATTGTTTGGGGAAGGTTTGTTTTCACGTAGAATACTGCCCCCAGTTCATGGAGAACGTCGACCAAGGCTGAGTTGGTTGCTGATGGGGGCCGTGGAATGAACGAGACGTAGCCGAGGGTTGCTTGGACGCCGCGGACGTTGAAGGAGTCCTAGGTAGGTGTTAGTATGAATGGGGGGTGAGTTATCACTACCAGCGGAGATGAAGCAGAGGTAGGAGTAGGAAAGGGAGAGGATCAAGTGTAGTAGAGGTAGAAAAAGAGGAAAAGACGTCCACCATCCTCCCATCCACCCGGATTGAGATGAGACTAAGATACCTTTAAACTTATTGGAAGACCATGCAAAGGACCCATGACCTTGCCCTCCTTGTTCAAAAAATCATCACACTCCTTCGCCCGCGCAATCGCTTCTCCAAACATAATCTCAGTCAAACAACTCACGCACTGCTGTGCGACAGCCGCTCTCTTACAAAACGCCGTCACCACTTCCGTACTCGTCAAACGTCGCTCTGCCATCATTCCAACTAAATCTGTGGCATCGTAGTTTTCAGTAATGTCCAACTCCTTCTCAGTCAAGATGCCGCATGTCCGTGGTACGTCCAACACGGAGATGGACGAGGTTTCTGTATATTGTGATGTTTGGGAGAGAGGAAGGAGCCAGTCTTTTGGAATCGCTGCAAAGACTGATTCGCGCTTTGATTGTGCGAGGGTCTGCCAGTCGGCTATGGGCGGTGCCGTGGTCGTGGCCATGGTTGTTAGTGATGAGTTGCAGTTTGACTTGGACTCCTGGTATCGAGCTAGTTTGCGTCGGGACTTGGAAGGATGAGTAGAAGGATGTATCTTTAATTCGAGAAGAGCAAAAAGCAATGGTGATGGTGTAATACTGAAGACACCCTGGTACTACACGCTGTTGATGAGGGGCTCTGGGGAGCCGGCCGAGGTTCCCGTGTCGGAAATACGATCGGAACTGGGCACGTGGGGAATGTGGGTATAGACTGGGGTAATGCAGCTGCTGTGTGGAGTTGCTTTTTCCAGCATATGGAGCGGACCGTTACTCATAGAGAATTCATCACTTCAATTCCATCAATATCTGGAGTCGAAGGGTACTACTGAACCTACATAAGCTCCACAATGCGCAAGTGAACATGATAATGTAATGTCCGTCTACGACTCGACAATGCCCGCAGTTGAACAAAGGCTGCGCTGCAAGGTTTGGTCCTCGTGCGGTCCATGTTCAATCTCTCCTCCTCTCGCTCCTCTTGTGCGGTGACCTGCTCCTTGTATCTCTCCAACGTCTACGGTCTCTGGAGAGTGACCTTGATCGCTTCGCATCGACATCAGGTTCGCGCTTGCGCTCTGTATAATCCTCCCTTCGCTTATGGTCGCGGCTTCGCGATCGATGTCTACGTCTGTCATCACGACCATCGTCTCTCCGCCTGTCGCGCGACCGTGAGCGATCTCGGTGTCTATGTCTTCGCTCTCTGTCGCGTGAGCGACTCCGTGATCGATGCCGTCGCCTTCGCTCTCCGTCATCGTCCCTGTGTCTCCACGAACGTTCCTTCTTCTCCCTCCTCTTCGCCTTGTCGTCATCCTCTTCCGCCTTGGCCTTCTCGTCTAATGTGTCTTTGACATCTGCCTGGTGTGCCTTCTCGCCCAGCGGCGTCAGGTTTGCGTTGTTGCGTACCGGAACCGGCAAGCCCATAGCAGCCAGCATCGCGTCCTCCTCAGCCTCCTTCAGCTTGCGCTTCTCTTCTTTGATGCGCGCTGCCTCGGCTTCTTTGGATTCTTCGTCGCCTTTTGCATACCAGTTCAGGTCGCGTCCTTGTTGCCAGCGACCAACGGGCGCCATGAGCGAGTGGCCGAGATAGTTTTCGCGTTGTGCATCGTTCTTGACGTCTTCCCATTTGAAGTCGGCGCGACCGCCGCTGCGCAATGTTAGTCATAGATCCCGAGTCAGTTGCAGTGAGCTTACCGGCTTCCTTCTTTGCGCACCGTTTGTACGAGATCCATGGTGTTGGTGTGTTGTGGTTATGCGATGGAGAAGATGGCGCAAGTAAGTTGCGGCCAACACGCGGAGGTGAGAGGCCCGTGCCACCAATGGCTTCATTACCAGCCTCAAAGAGCTTCCAAACACAATCACTCTTCAATCACGACTACCGCCAACATGCCTCCGATACTTCCACCCCCCGACGAGCAAGAGTACGATCAGCCCTTGACAATCGATGGCCTACCGGGGCGCGATCTGGCTGCTGGAAACAACCTCTTCTTCTATTTCACCTCGTCGCCATGGTTCGATCCGGAAGACTGTATCAACATAGCCATCTTCACCAATCTTAACCTCCAGGATCCGGCCAATGCTCAGACTATTATGAACGATCCAAAACTATGGAATCAGCGAATCAAAGAGACACCTAAAGGAATACAATATGTCATAGCAGGTGAAGGGCAGGGCGAGGGTCACCCATGGCTACTCCAGCGGCAACACAAGGCCGAAATCACAAAGGATGATGGCAGCAAGGAGATCGGCATGTTTGTCGAGGGGAACTGGTACACGCACGGAACAAAGGTCCTCATGGCGCCGAGCTTGCTGGACGTGGTGCAGAGTCGATTGCTCACTGTTGCGACGCGCATGGAGCAGATGGCTGAGATATCAAAGAACATGACGCACTGGACACCTGCAACGGGGTACTCGTACTTTCCTCCCTCACATGAAACTTCAAAGGCTGCGACGACGGCCAGTCGAATCGGTAGTCCGACACTGGCGCCAACGGACCCAGATGTTGCAGGCTCGCAGTCACAAGGCGCCGGAGCGGGTGCAACTTCACAAACAACAGATCCACTGGCATCCACCACCGAGTTCTCTGATGCCTTGTTCATGCATTCTCTCAATCTCACAAACGCGTATGGAGACGAATACATGGACGAGAATCCACTCAAGGGCGAGCCGGGCGCGTTTGTTTTCGAGGGCACCAAGACTGCTGTGAGCGCGAGGAACAAGGCACAGGAACAAGCAGCGCAAGCATCTCTGTCTGCACCGCCTGTGGGACTGAAGATCGAGACTCAGCCGCCGAGCGTGGCACCGTCTGCTGTGGGTACACCAAGAGGGGTAGCGACGCCGACTACTGCGGAGACACAGGGGAAGAAGGGGGCTATTGGTGCTGCGCCGAAGAAAAAGAAGGATAGAAGGAAGAGTCAGGGTGGGCTGACGAGTCCGACTACGCCGAGTGTGCCGTAAGATGGTCGCAAGAACCAGATGTCGTCCGTTTCCTTGTAATGATACCCCGACTGTACACAGGTCGAAATTCAATCACCACTAAAAGCCGTGTTTATCGTGTTTCCCATGCGCTTGACCCTGTTCAGTGACGCATGAATCTTGATCCTGATAAGCTCACGTCTAGCCAACCGGAATAGAATGTGCTTGCCATATCCAACGCCTCTCGCTTCATCCCGAACACCGAAGCTGCGAAGTCAGCAACGTTAGGCCACCAAACAAACGCTCTATCGACATTGCTTTTGGTATGTAAACAGGCGGTATCCTCAGGATCCCTCTCCACACATCTCGTCCCTGATCCCCGAGAAAAGATGGTTCTTAGAAGGGTTGTCACAACATGCTCTCAACCCAACACCAGTCACCACGAAGTACAAGATACCGTCATCCACGATCCAAACCATGACATTAAAACCGGGAAACAACCCCAAGACTTCCTCCCCGTCCCCAACCCAATGTCCAGCTACTGGCTCAAACAACCCCATCCCTACGCCAAACTCCGCACAACACCGCACCTCCCCGTCTCCTGCGACATCGCCATCATCGGCTCCGGAATGGCCGGTATCCTGACCGCCTACCACATCCTACAGACCTCGCATGCCAATTTCCGCCAGGCTGGTACACCCATGCCTCGCATTGTCCTCCTAGACGCACGGGATCTCTGCAGTGGCGCCACGGCCCGTAACGGCGGGCACTCAAAAGTCAAAACAGCCACGCTCACCAGTCTCGCGGATGGCGCTGCCAGAACAGCGTTTCAAGACTACGTGCACCGCACGCACGTGGAGCTGAAATCACTCGTCGACGCCGAAGGTCTCGCAGTAAAGTGCGAATTCGAATTACGTCGCAGTTTTGATGTGTTTCAAGACAAGGAGGAGTTTGAGGGCGTGAAGATGGCATACGATGAAGATGCGAGGGTAGGGGAAGGTTGGACTAAGAGGACGAGCGTGGTGCCTGGGGAGTGGGTGGAGAGGATCACAGGGGTGAGGGGGTCCGTCGGGGCGTTTAGCGTTGAAAGTGCGAGTTTCTGGCCGTACAAGCTTGTGTGTGGAGTGCTTGAAAGAATGGTGGAGAAATTTGGAGAGGTATTGAATGTACAGATGAATACGGTCGTGACTCGACTTGCCTCTTCCCCGTCGACAGCCAGTGTTGAGAGGACGTCCCGCGATGCCAATACCACTGCCACCACCACCACCCGAGTGGTGAACATATTGGAAACACCCCGAGGTACTCTCACGGCGAAAAAAGTGGTCCTCGCAACAAATGCGTACACAGTCTCTCTCCTCCCTTCCTTCAGCAAGACGATTGTACCGTACAAAGGCATGAATAGTCACCACGCGCCTTCTCCATCCGCATCATCTTCCTCGCCCCATTCAAACCACACCAACCACGCCACACAATCTCACTTGAACAACACCTACAACATCCACTTCGCCCCACTATCCCCCAAACAACCCACGGGGTGCGACTACCTAAATCCCCGCCCGGACGGCTCCATCGTCGTCGGAGGCGGCAGCTGGTTCTACCAGAACAAGCACAACGAGAAAGATGACAGTTGTGATGATGATAGATATGCCTGGCTCAATACGGTAGACGACAGCACAGAAACTGGACATTTCCCAGCAGACGTTTATGCGCACTGGACACACTACATGTCCAACACTTTCTTCAATCATCCTCTCCCGTCTTCTTCTTCTCGTTTCGAACCAGATAGTATCTGGACAGGTATCCAGGGTAAGACGAACAATGGTATGCCGCATATCGGACGGGTTCCTCCTCCTCCTCCTCCTCCTGACAAAAGGGACAAGCAGCAGCAGCAGTGGATGTTGGCCGGTTTCAATGGCGGAGGCATGGCACTGATTCCCCTAGCAGCCAAAGCAGTGGCGAAGATGGTGCTACGGGATTTGGACTTTGAACACGTGCAAGACGAGTTTGGACTGCTAGAGGGCATGGGCACAGGGGATGCGAGGATGGTGTCGTGATACTACACACACACACACACATCGAGGGGAAGAGGTAGGCATACATGGGTAGGCAGTGAGTGGCGTTGGAGTATATATATACACACACACATATACACGTTACGAAGGGTGGTTGGTATGACAGCAGCAGCAACACCTTCCATTCCAGCTGGCTAGACTGAGACGTTGGTCTGCGGGAGGACGATGGATGGTAGGGAAACAGCGGTTATGGCAAGACGAAATTCAGGTTGGAACTTAGCCTCTATACGCACACCATGTACGTTCTACGGGTTGATATCTAATTACAAATACGTAAGCTATTAAATCTATAGGTATATATATATACACAATTTATCGAGTGAAATAAGAAAGTTGTTTAGTTTAATGGTGATAGTCACCCTCTAGTTGATTGATTCAAGGAGAAACATGCGATCGTCACTGATTTGCAGGAGGACGTAGAAATGAGTGGGTAAATCCCGGATTCCTTTGACTGAGGGAATCTCCGACGGATACGAGTCTTGACTAACTAATTTTCATCCCTAAGAAGCGAAAAAAAGGAAAAAAAACATAAACTCCATCCCATATGCCGCTTGCTTGTCCCCTTTCATATTTATGAGAGCCCATCTGCAAGTAAATGAGTTTGACGAAAGCCTTCATCAGAACAAGTTTCTTTGTTTCAGCCGCCCACCATCGCCAACAAATGCAAGAGTCCCAGACAATGCTCAACACCCAAGAAGTAACAAAGGAGAGATACCAAGACGACAAGGTAGAAGTAGCGCTCGAAAATGATGAGTGATGTTCCGTCGTCGGTGAAGTTGAGAGTAGTGAGGTGTACAACGTACAGGTTATAAGGTTAGAGAGGAGAGAGAGATAGGAAATGGTATCTCTGAACAGCTACAATTTGAACGTGGAGGGTTGAGGATTGGGGGATGCGCATCGTAGGACTCTCGCTACAACGTATTTCCTCAAAAAGCAAAAGCAAAGAAAAAAGGGATAAGAAAAGTTGTCAAGACTACAAGTGGCAGGTCATATTGCCTTACCACACCCACTCAAGATCGCCCAAGTCGTCCGTGACCTGGGCGTGATGATCGGCATGAGAGCGCCAATCTTTGCTCTTGTACCAGTTGTCCACCTTTTGCTCCCAAGACCCGACGGAATTCTTGTTCTCGTTGTGGCTGGGACCCCAGTTGATCTGACGCATGCCAGTGCCAGTCCGGCTCCGCTTCCGGGCGGAGGTCGGGGGTTGAGCCGACTTGGGAGACCTCATAGGCTTCGATGGGGTCTGCTGCTGGACTTGTTGCTGAGCCTGCACGGCAGGACTACGACGGCGGTCGCCGAGAGCAGCCCACTTGTCGGCAGCGGAGCGCTTGTTGGCCGGCGCAGGGGTGCGATGCTCCTCAAAAACGAATCCAGTTGCAGCGCTGACATGGTCGACCGCATTGCGAATGTTCTTGGGGGAGCGATCCCTGCTGTTGTGAACGGTGGCAGGGTTCTTGACCTCTGACAAACCGCCGCGAGGGGTCGACACACCTGACCCGGCTTCAGAAACAACAGCCTTGGCCTTGGACGACTTCTGAGCTCCAAAGGAGTGGCAGTTGTTCTCAAGCTCGGCAAGGAACTGTGCGTCATCGTCATCGTCCTCCCAAAGGTCACTCCAGCTCTTTGAGAACACGTCACGCTTCTTACCGAAGACGGAAGACATGCTGTTGAAAGCCTTGGCAGGGAGTGAGCCAGAGATAGGAACGGGCCGAGATCGGGTAAAGTTCATCGACTTTGGCTCGCTGACGTCAACCGACTTGAAAGATAAGCCTAATCCAGAGTCCACAAAAGATACGGCAGACGCGGTATCTGGCTTGACGTCGTAAGGAGGACCACCGAACATCTCGTCCTCATAGATCTCGTCGTCGGGAATGGCTGAGAGCTGACGGAACTGCTGAGGTGGAGACATTGCCAAGGCCTTCGCCCATGGGAATGATCCACCGTTATCGAGCTGAGGTGTTGAGATGGAAGGTGTACGGAGTGGTTCGCGGTTGGCTCCAACAGCGACAACGTCACGCTCCTCAGTGCAGAAGTCATCGAGGCTCTCGTCATCGGTGGTGAAGCTGATGACGCGGTCGAGAGCGTCCTTGACAGCGTTGAGGTCACGCTTCTCGGGGTCGATGGCCAAGCACTGTCGGATGACCTCGAAAGTGTCCTGCGACATGTTGGGGAAGACATCAAAGAGACTTTGACGGTCGAGAGCGAAGTCGGCGTACAGAGGATCCGAAGCAGCAGGTACAGCGAAGGGGTTGCGCTGAAACAGAATGTTGAGAAGAACGATGCCAATAGACCAGATGTCTGCCTTGGCGGTAGAGTAGCCAGTGTTGCCAGGATCGTACTGCTCGGGAGCCATGTAGCGGTCGCTGCCTACGGCAATCTCGTAGGACCAAGTGTCGGAAGTGGCGAGACCAAAGTCACCAAGCTTCATCGAGCCATCTTGAGTAAGGAAGATGTTCTCGGGCTTGATGTCGCGGTGGTAGATACCCTTGGAATGGATAAACTCGACAGCACCGACAAGCTGCATCATGAAGTCTCGCACGTGCTCAGTCTCGAGAGGACCCTTGCCAACACGAATGGCCTCGTACAGGTCGCCATTGGAGCAGAACTCAAGGACCAGGTAGATGTGGTTCTGGGTCTCAAAAGACTGAAGCATGTTGACAACGTTGGAGTGCTCACCAAGGTGGAGGTGAACGCCAAGCTCCTCGGAGCGCTCATCAACAGCGAAAGCAGAAGGGCAGTTGATGGCGGCGGAGCTCTTGGTGATGACCTTGATGGCAACATTGTCGCCGGTTACAAGGTCCTTGGCCTGGAAGACCATGCCGAAGGAGCCATTGTTGAGAGGGGAGATTGTCTCGTATCGTCCATTGAGCACAACGCCGTCGTGAAGCTGATCGCGCATGCACTCCATTAGGAAGGTGTGTAGTGGAGATGGAGGTGGCTTAAAAGTGAAGCCGGACAAACAAAGGAACAGGAAAGCTCGATATGCGAATCAAACAATGGGCAGACAGCCGGAAGCCCAAAAGCGATGCTCTATCAGACTTTTGGTGACACGGAGTCTTGGGAAGATATCAATAAATGGTTGTAATGGTGGCCGATGGTTGTTGGATAGTTTGGACCGGAATATGTCGTGAAGCAACAGCGATGGCTGTCGAAGAAACGGAAAGCAAAGTCGTCGGTGATATATGCACAGGAGTCCGTCGACTGAAACAGCAAGGAAATGCTCAAGAGAGTGTGGTTCTCATTTGTCGGTATTAATTGCGTATGGATGGCTCGAGTCAACGAACAATCGGATGTGAGAGAGGAGGGATGGAGTCGTCGACGTCCAGAAAGTAAGAGGTATCGCTGCGTAAAAGAGAAGAGAGTCGTAACACGTGGAAGTGGAGGGTGTCGTCGGTAGGCAGACAGTAGGGGGTGTCTGGATGACGCGATTGACGGCGTGAGTCAGGTGGCACGGGCTCACGCGGAAGGCAGCTAGCTTGTCGACGAAGAGGGTCTCGAAGATGCCAGTTGTTGTGTTCGCTAAGACGGATTCGGTCGATAGAGCATCAAACGTCTGCGTGAGCAAGCTATTGCGGCGCAGGTGGTCTGGCTGAAGTGAGGTGAGGTGAGGGATGAGGACGAGTGGATACTCGGGCTAGCTGTCGGGCGGATATCGGGATGGCCAGCAGCGAGCTCTCAGTATCACATCAAATCAGGACGCGGCAACGGCAGCTATGTGATGGAGTATATGAGTGTATAGCGTGGTTGTCGTGTGGTGGTGGAGGGCCAGGAGTCGGAGGTCGGAGAGAGGGCGGAAGGCGGAAGGGATGATGTTGTTGACGTTGTTGACGTCTGAGCTGCGAGCAGTTGCGGGCTGCGGAAGAAGGAACGGTGGTGAGGCGGTGGTAATTAAGGCAGCAGCGGATGTTATGATGAGGATGGTGATGAGGAAGCAACGCTAGAGCTTGCGAACAACGACGAGAGCAAAGTGGGTACGTGTTATGGAGGCATCGGGGGTGAGTGAGGTGATAGCGGGTAAAAGACGGCCATGCTGGGTATTAGAGGGCACACCTGGGCAGCGCCAGGAGCTGAGCCCTCGGGACCCGCTCACAGCAAAGCGGCGGTGACCAGACAGGGGTGCGGCATCGGGCCTAGCGCCAGTTGACTAGCTAGGAAGCTACGTGGCTTGCATCGTAAAGCAGCACTACTCGGCCGGCCAATCGTGTGCGCTGCTCGTCTGCCAACTTTCCATGCCCTTCGACGGCTTTCCACCATACTCGTCACTGTCTTGACCTGCTCCCCCAGCCTTTGTCCCTGCTTTGGCAGCAGCAGCGGGTCTCTCGGCATCGCATCATCGCCTTTGCATCACTCATTGCGGGTAACCCCACCTGTCGGCCTTCTGACGGCCTTCTGACGGCCACTGTGCTGGCGGACGAATGCTCAGAAATTAGCTATGACGAGCGCTGAAACATCGTCCTTGCTTCACAAAGACGGACGGCGGACAAGGCGCGCATCCAGACCACGACCAACCTGACTACTTGTCGTACGCCAATGCTGGCCTAGCCCCAAGCGCCGCCGTGCTGATCGTAGCCCATCGCAATGTAGCACACAGCTGCCACCTGGCCTGTAATTGGACTCGACCACCCTCCATGCCCTGCTCCAACCAGACTGTTATCTCTTGTTTCGTGATGCTTGCCACTTTATCTGCAGCTATCTTTGTATGAGCCTTGCGGTACTCTGCCGACTACAGAGTCGCTGCTGTCGTGTGCTCTTGTGTAGCCAGCTGTGCCATCCAGGGGCTGGATCTACGCCCCAATACAGCATGACAAGTGTTTCGTGTGCTAGCGGCGAGGCCATATGGTACACTATTCGGCTGACTATTGACCCTCGACTTCGGCCTCACAGGGTCGGGCGGGTCGCGGCAAACATTAGAAATCCGGGGAAAGCTTGCGCTGCCTTGTGTTGTGACTGTCTGCGCCCATTGCTGTGCCGCACATGAGCGT